ATTTTTCTATTAGAACTTGATGATTACATTGACTTAATGGAAGATGACATAATCAACTTTCATCAAGTGATGAATTATAATAGATTAATACTATGAATGATAAAATAAAGTCAATGAAACACGATGATATTTGGGATATTTTCGAGTTTCTTAAAGAAAAGAAATCTATTACTTGCAAATGGGTATTTAAAACCAAAAGGGATTCGAGTGATAACATCGAGAAAGATATAAGGCTCGACTAGTTGCAAATACTTTGTGTGAAAGGAAAGACATATATTATAAATATACTTTCTCTTTGATATACTCAAAGCACTCTTTTGGAATGATTGGTATTTGTTAGACCTTATATATATATATATATATATATATATATATACACACACACACACACATACACACGCCCATTATATTGATGTAAATAATGAATTTATAAATGGAGACATTGACAAACCATTTTATATGGTTCAAACGTAAAATTTTGTGTCAGGAGATCTAAACTATATGGTTTGCAAGTTAAACACATCCATATAAGGTTTGAAACATACTTTCCATTAATGGTATCATAATTTTCATCGGGTCATTACCTGATATGGTTTTTTTCTTAAGGAAAATGTTATAGATATTGGTGTATATCACAAGTTAAATGGGAGTAAATATGTATGTGTGGTATTATATGTCGATTATATTCTTCTAGTTGGTAACAATATAGTTTTATTACACGAAACCAAGAAATTTTTTAATAATAAATTCAAAATTGAAGATCTTAGTTACACCTATTTTGTATTCGGAATCATAATATAACGAGATTGTTCTCGATGTATCTTCAGATTGTCACAAAAGAGCTGTATCGAGAAACTTTTATGCAAATTTTGTATGAAAGATAATAAACCAGGAGATACATGTATTGCTGAATAAGACAAATTCAATCTAAAATAATGCCTAAACTGATATTTAAATGGTTTAGACACAAAAGATCCCATGTATATCGTTGGCATGGAGCCTTATGTATACTCAAGTATATAGTCATCCAGACATTGCATTCATAATGAGAGTTCTCGGTAGATACTTACATAATCCATATATACAAACTAGATGGTGGCAAAACATATGATGTGAAAACCAAAATACTATATGATCACTTATCATAAATCATAGACTTTTGAAAGCTCATTGGTTTCTCTAAATCAAGCTTTATTGGAAACAAAGACAACAAACACTCAACATCATCAACATCATGTATGTTGGATACAAAAGTTATATCATGGAAGTATGTTAAATATAAACTTATAACTTTTTCAAACATGTTAGTTGAGTTCATAACTTGTTTTAAGGTATCTAATTACAAAATACAATTTTAATTTTTTATCGTTAAATTAAGAGTAATAGATGACGTTGACAAGCCATTGAAGAATTCTTGTGACAACAACCTAACTACTTTATCCAAAAACAAAAGTAGCTAAAAGAAGTCGGAAATTACCAACATCAAGTTTCTAGTTGTCAATGAGAGAGTTTATGGTTATATATATATATATATATATATATATATATATATATATATATATATATATATATATATATATAGAGAGAGAGAGAGAGAGAGAGAGAGAGAGAAAGGTAGTTTCAAATGTGGATTCATAACTAGTGTGTGGATGTATGGATTAATATGGAACAATCATTTTAAAAATATTAATTAATTATAAGTAAGGGTATATTTGTAATCTTAGGTTTTAATTATTAAATATAATTAAATAAATAAAATAAGAAAACCTATAATTATGGAATGTTTCCTTAACTTTCTCTATAACCCTATTTAACTTTTCCACATCTTTCTTTGAACTCGTCGACAACAACTAACAACCAAATCTCCAACCCTACTACCTCAATTGGATGCCGACCACTTGCACCACCATCTGTTGTCAACCATCTTCCTTCATCGGCGCCGCCCTCCTTCCCCACATCAAACGGAGCCGCTGAATCTTTTCCCCACAACAACGGTAAGTCTACTTCTTTTATATGGAGGCTATAAGAATTTAATTTCTTATGTACTTACTTAATATACGGTTAGCAATAGGATACAAAGTTTAAATGTTCAATTTTTGTTATTTGTGAAGGGATTCTTATAACATTAAAATGAATTGGATTTATTTTACACTTGAAGACGCGACACATACATACTTAGTTTGAATATTTCTTCATGAATGATTTATTTTTTTTATATTTGTTAATGATATTCTCGATGAATACGTGAATAGTTTTCATCAATTTGATTAGTTATTATAAATCCATTTACGTGGTAATTAATGATTAAAAAACCCTCATTGCATTTGATATTACCAATATAATTTAGAATACTGAATGCAAATAGGATACTCGATTAGATTATAAATTCAAATAATTTTTATAATGACTTATGAAATTTGAATTGTTTTATTGTTGTTGATGAAAGTTGGAAATTTTATGATTATTGTAAATATGAGCTAATAATGGTTGTATTATTGTTCCATAGCCCAACATGATGTGTTTAATCCTACTTAGGTCATCCCATTTTCAAAGTTTTATAATTAAAAGTCCCTCACAGTAAATAAACAAGCAGGTGAATGAATTTACGAAATGAATTTATATTGTAGTTTTTTACTTTGTTTTTTTATCTTTATATTATATGTGATATCTATACTCTATTTTCGTTAGAAAAAGATGAAGTCCGGGAATGTATTTCTGACAACAATTCTACCGGAATGGAATCTCAAATTCCAATTCAATGATAATGGAATCTCGAATTCCAAAATCAACTTAAACAATGAATTATCAAACACACCACATAATGGTATCTTGTAATTTCAATTATCAAATATTTTGGATATTTAATTATTTTTTTCAACTATGCAAATCCATATGTTATTTTGTTTTTTTTCCATCCAGATTTTGTAGTTGTTGGTTTTTAAAAGGGTATTCGTGTGCTTGATTTTTTTAGAATTTCGATTATTATGGTGAAGATATCATTGGATTGTATTGTTGATTGAAGCATCTTAAATTGGAAAACTTAACATGTTTCTTTGTGGGTTCAGGTTATGAAGAAGTTGCCATTGATGTGGGAAAAAAACATGGAGAAAGAGAATATATTTCGGCATAAAAGATTATATTTTGGCATAATAGAATGTATTCTTGTAGAATGTTTAGATATTTACCTAATAATTCTTTTAGAATATATACATCAAATCATTCAATTAGAATCTTATAGAAATACAATATGGTATGCATTATGTTTTGGAAAATTTGGGTTGTAATGTTTGATTTTGGTTTTAAGGATTATCATAAAATTTGGATTGTAATTTAAAATGTTGATTATAGTTGACGGATGTTTTAGAATATTTACCTAATCATCCTGTTAGAATATGTATAAGTCTATTATATTTTAAGAATATTTACAAATTTGTATATAAGTGCAAATGTATGAGCACATAAAAAGATTGTAATTCTTTAATTGATGGTTAAGAATGTTTATATTATTAAAAATGTGCATTTTGTTAGAATATGTATTTCGTCATAATATGTATTCCGTCAGAATATATTATTCTTTCAGATAATCTTTGTTATTTTTCAAAAAATATATATTTTAAAAATTAAAAGAACTATTATCTCCTAGAATCTTGGACTTTTTTTAATCAAGTTAAATAGACTAAAATACCCTTACATGGATATTTAATGTAATAATATTATACATGCATTCCTATTGTAATATCATGCACCTTAAATCACATCGTTTCATTATTTTCATCCATTGGTCCAGAATCGCTCCTACGTCCACACAATACTTGTTGTCCACATTATAACCTAGCTCTCTCTCTCTCTCTCTCTCTCTCTATATATATATATATATATATATATATATATATATATATATATATATATATATATATATATATATATATATATATATGAACTAATTCACTTCTAGTCACTAACTAAAGGTTAAACACATAAGATGTTTCATGAGCACACTACTTGTATGTCGTTATTATAGATAATATATTGATTTAGTAGGAATATGTATGTACTATGTGTTTTATTATGTTATGATATTCTGCAAAATAAACATGATGTTATTTCTCATCCTTGCACTGAATTCAAAACATTGCAATATATATGTTGTATAAAGAACCAAAATTAACCTTAAAGACTATATTTAGACAAATTGGAAATTGACATCCATAATGTTGAATTGCCCGACATTTTTATCTATATTTGATCCATGTTAATGAGTGTATTTGTATATGATGGTGGTTTAGTTATCCTTTAAAAAATAATATTCAAACTATGTTGGTTCTATATTTATGTATGAGATGGATGAGATTCTTTTAAGGGAATAAAATGGAAATGAATAATAGCACATCTAGTTAATTTTGTAATATAGTTCCAAATATATGTAGCCCCTAAGTGGAAGATTGTTAAAGTTTTAATAATAAAGGTGATTTATTAGAAATTACTAACCATTAATGTAGGGAATAGGCAATATATACTTGAGACGATATATATATATATATATATATATTATATATATATATATATATATATATATATATATATATATATATATATATATATAGGGAATAGGCAATATATACTTGAGACGTTGCATATATATATATATATATATATATATGCAACGTCTCAAGTATATATTGCCTATTCCCTATATTATATATATGAGGAAGGATCATTTGAGAACTCAAAGTTTCCCGAGAACCCGAGAACTAAACAATGACCGTTAGATTAAAATAATAGAGGGTTAGGATGTTTTGTGGCATTTTTGTAAATACGTGAAAATAAAAATGGACGGGGGCATCTAATTGAAAAGAATCAGGGGTATTTTAGGGATAGTGTAACTGGTTCCCCTTTATCATATTTAATAACGTAACTCTACCCCTATCTCTCTCTCTCTCTACACTTTCGTCACGTTAACTTCATCGTTGATTGTTGGATGAAACTACCGTTTGAAATCCATGGCCGCCTCTGGTAATCATCACCCCCATCAATTGATTGGCTTCCTCATCGTATCCCCCCTCTCTTTCTCCCTCACAGTCACAAACACACACACACACACACACGTCTTTACGCCTTCGATACGATAATTCATTTGATCAGGATAACATCAACAAGAATCGAGTCCGCCGATCTTCCCTAAAAACAACATCACCACCATCGTCTCCTCCTAAACCTACACCATCACCGCCTCCATTGAAACCTACACTGTAATCACCTCCCGGAATAGATCTTATTGCGTTTGTATTTGGTTATCAATGAAGTTTGAGAAGGAGTTAAATGTCTTCACTCAGTTAAATGCCATGTCACGATCGAGTCTCATATCCGCCTCATCTTCTGCAATCAAATCACATCTTCGTCTCATCTCCGGTGACCGATTTGGTACTACACCTCATCTCTTATTTGTTTTTTGTATATCTTTCAGATTTGGAATTATGTTTTAGTTTACAATACTTTTTTGATATTGATCACTCTAGGCTCCTCTTATGGATCTGTCTCTTCTTCCTCCTATCATCGTGACTTCATCACTCTCTTACACATCGATCTAGATTTCAGGGAATAGCGGTCCAAATATGATTGTTGATAATGGCGGTGGCTTTCAATTTTTTGATCTGGTATTACCTTCTTCTGGAAAACATATTACTGATATTTTTACAGGCTTTGATTTTCATTTTTTTTTCCTGTAATTGATCTCTAATAAGAGCTTTATTGTCTGTGAAATTGCATATCTTGTCATTTAGTTTATTTGAATACTTTTATATAGTTAATCTTCTATTAGTTGTCACTTTACAGGCTTAAGAGTTTTGATTGTTGTCAGAAATACAGTGGTGTTAACACATTTGGTGTTAACCAATAACAATGTATCTAATGTTATAACAGCTTCTAATGGCGAATATCAAGGAGTATGTCCCAATAGTATACACTCCAACAGTAGGAATTGTTTGTCAGAAATACAGTGGATTGTTTAGAAGACCAAGAGGGATGTATTTCAGTGCTCTTGATCGTGGGAAAATGGTGTCAATAGTTTATAATTGGCCAGCTGAACAGGTACTCTACTTTTAAATAAATGATATGATTCTTTTTTTAAATTATTAGATATAGATACATTGGTGCTTGTGTTCAAATTTCAAAACCTTTTTGCAAATTTTGTAGGTTGATATGATTATTGTTACTGATGGAAGTAGAATAATGGGTCGTGGTGATCTAGGAGTTCAGGGTATTGGAATTGCAATTGGGAAGTTGGATTTATATGTTGCTGCAGCTGGAATAAATCCTCAGAGAGTAATGTTTGCACATTATCCATCTCAATATATACATATTTCTAAAATTTCTCACATGCAAACATATATCTTTTTCCTTTTTTTTATTGTAACATGTTCTTCCTATCATGATTGATGTTGGAACCCACAATGAGAACCTTCTAGAAAATCCCTTGTGTAACTTTTCTTCTTCTCTTCTTGATTTTTTTTCAAACCTTATTAAGTAAATTACATGTGATTCACATGTAGTTCACATATGAATTACATGTAAATCACATGTTAGTCACATGTAAATCACATGTTATTAACATATGATTCACATGTAAATCACATGATAATTACATGGGGCACAGGTAAATCACTAGAGAGAACCTTCTAGAAAACCCTGTGTAACTTTTTTTCTTCTCTGATTGATTTTTTTTCCAAACCTTATTAAAAAACCCACTAACTAACACCACTTACCACCGAACCAACACCACCCACCACCACCACCCATCACTAACCACCACCACCAACCACCACCCACCACCCACCACCCACCACCAACAACAACCACCATCACCATCCAACCACTACCACCTACCACCACCACCCATCACCACCGCCTCCCACCACCACCCACAACCACTACCTACCATCCGTCACCACCACCCATCACTACCCACCACCACCAACCACCACCACCACCACCCGCCACCACCACCCATCACTAACCCCCCACCAACCACCACCCACCACCCATCACTACCCACCACCCACCACCACCACCCGCCACCACCACTACCACCCACCACCCACCACTATCACCACCCAACCACCACCACCCGCCACCATCACCCACCTCCACCACCATCACCGCTGCCCGTCACCACCACCAACAACCACTACCTACCACCCATCACCACACCACCCGCCACTACCACACATCACTACCCACCACCACCCATCACCCATCATTACCCGCCCCCACCCCCACCCCCCCACCCACCCACCCACCACAACCACCAACCACCACCCGCCACCCCCACCCACCCCCCACCACCCCACCACCACCCATCACCGCCATCACCACCACCCAACACCACCACCACCACCAACCACCACCAGTACCATCACCCCACCACATCACACCCAACCAACCACCACCACATCACCACATCACACCACCCACCCATCCACCACCACCCATCACCACACACCACCACCACCCATCACCAACACCCTGCCTCCACCACCCGCGGCCACCACCCCCACCTACAAATATTTGTTATTGTGTTTTTGATTCATTAGTTTTTCTTATGTATATAATCACATGTGATTATATGTATCGAGTCACATGTGATTATATGTATCGAATCATATATGATTTATATGTTATTAAATACATATAATCACATGTGATTAAACACACGTGAAAAACTAGTGAATCGAGAATGCAAAAATGAATATTGTCAACGTAAATCATATGTGATTAGATACATATAATTACACGTGATTATATGTATTTAATAAAATATTATTTTACGTAGGCCGTATTTATTTTCGTGTTTTCGATTTGATAATTGGCATTGTGTATTAAATCACATGTGATTATTTTTATTTAATCACATGTGATTATATGTATTTAATCACATATGATTTACATGGACAATATTTATTTTCACGTGTTGATTCAATAGTTGTTCTTGTGTATTTAATTACATGTGATTATATTTATTTAATCACATATGATTCGTATGTAAAATATTTATTCCTGCGTCGATTCAATAATTGTTCTAATATATTTAATCACATGTGATTATATGTATTTAATCACATGTGATTGATGTGGACAAGATTCATTATTTCTTTCTCAATTCAATAGTTGTACTCATGTACTTAATCACATGTGATTATATGTATCAAATCGCATATGATTTATATTGATAATATTCATGATTCAATATTTTTTCTTATGTATTTAATCATATGTGATTGTATGTATTAATCTCATATGATTAATGTGGAAAAAGAAAAATTATTTAATCAAAAACACAAAAATGAATCTTGTGTACAAAAATCATATGTGACTAAATGTACAAGAACAACTATTGAACAAGAATGTGAAAATGAATATTGTCCATATAAATCATATCTAATTAGATACATATAATCTCATGTAATTAAGCACACAAGAACAACAACTGAATCGAGAACGCGAAAATAAATATTTTCCACATAAATTCTATGTGATTAGATACATATAATCACATATGATTATATGCATTTAATCACATATGATATATGTGGAAAATATTTATCTTTGTGTTCTCGATTCAATAGTTGTTCTTGTGTATATAATCATACGTGATTATATGTATCTAATCACATATGATCTATATAGACATCATTATTTTTTGTCCGTATAAATCATATGTGACTATATACATATAATCACATATGATTATATGTATTTAATCACATATGATTAAATATTGATAATATTCATGATTCAATATTTTTTCTTATGTATTTAATCATATGTGATTGTATGTATTAATCTCATATGATTAATGTGGAAAAAGAAAAAATTATTTAATCAAAAACGCAAAAATGAATCTTGTGTACAGAAATCATATGTGACTAAATGTACAAGAACAACAATTGAACAAGAATGTGAAAATGAATATTGTCCATATAAATCATATCTAATTAGATACATATAATCTCATGTAATTAAGCACACAAGAACAACAACTTAATCGAGAACGCGAAAATAAATATTTTTCACATAAATTCTATGTGATTAGATACATATAATCACATGTGATTATATGCATTTAATCACATATTGTAACGCCCGTAGATCCGGGCTAGTCAATTTAGAGACGATAAGCATCAAAAATGACTTTTTGATGGAAGATTATTTAGAAGGATTAATCTTAACTAAGTTGTAGTATATGTTACAAGGATTTCGTACATATAAAGAACGCCGAAATCTGAGTTATAACGAAGAAGTTATGACCTGTCGAAGTTTCGCGATAGAACCGGCACGACGCTGAATGACGTAAAATATGAATTTAAGATAGAGCGATATCTAGCCTTAGTAATCTAAACGAAAGTCGTAGAGTTCGTTAAACCGAGAGCGTGCATAAAAAGAACGTCTAAATCTGACTTCGTATGAGGAAGTTATGATTTTTCGAAGTTTCAGCTTAGCAGTATGCAGCCCGAATACTCGAATTTGAGATCGAGTGGTTTCTAGAAGAAACTTTCTAAATGAGAATTGAAGATCTCATCGATAGTAGTCCAACGGTAAAAAGACAGACGAAAACGGATGTCAGACGAAGAAGTTATGGATTTCTAACGGAGTTTTCCTGTCCCGACCTAGTAAAAATAATATAATAAAAATAAATTCAAAACTACCCGACGAAGTCTAAACGAGAGTTGTAGAGCATAATCTCACCTACGCGTTCATATAAAGAACGTCAAAAACGGAGCTCGTATGCGAAAGATATGAATTTCTGAAGTTCGGGGCACGAAATCCGATCCTGTGTCAGAACTCACGACGTGAACACTGTGTTCACGACGTGAACTCAGAAAAACGTCACCTAGACTCTGTCAGACCCCACTTGTGATGACGCATGCAGTGACGATCAAGCCCCACGACGTGAGCAGTTGAAACTCACGACGTGAACCCAGAAAATTCGCCCTATAAATAGAAATCAAGGGTCAGCCGATTTTGGTTGCTCCTCCCTTACTCTTTCACTCCCGATACCCTCTCTAAGCCCTATTTTAAGTCCCCGAAGCCCCGGTATCATCCCGAGACCCGAATCAAGTCCCAAAGCACCGAAGATCCCGAGAATAAAAGAGTTTCTGAGCCGAAGCTTTGCTTGCGAGTAGCCCGGTGTGTGAAGACCTTCTAGTTTCACCGAAAAGCTTCTACTTTTAGAGCCGTAGTGCTGTCCGATCATCTTCTGATCAAGTGAGTGCATAGTCTCTTTCATAAACACGATTTAATACAAGTACTGTTGAATGTATTAAGTATACGTTCTATGTGAGTGTATATTCCCTTTCTTCTAACACATAGATATGAAGTATCTACTTTAGAATATGTGTTATGTGTGCATAAATATACGTGTATATATATGTTATCTGTTTAAAGTATTGAATGAGTATCTTATCAGTTTTTAAGTTGCATATGAATGCATATGTATGTTGTTATCTACAAAAATGTTGGGTAGAACTTGGGTAGATAGTTGATGTGTGATAAACTGATGAGAGGCCTCGATGTGATTGTGATCTAGTCATTCAGCAGAATATGGATGACGACCACAGACTCTTTCTAGACTGTCCTGTGGAACGCTGACAGGCTTATAACCTGTAGGTGTTGGTGAACTTGGTTGTTCATTTGTTGTATTCTATCCCCCTCATGGTTGCCCTAGGACATTCATTGCTGAGGAAACCCCTTTGCAGTGTTGTCCGTCCCGATGAAAATCCTAGATTAGGTCCCTTGTGATAGTTGTTGTTTTAGGGACGTAAAGTGAGGATAACGGGAATGGGTAATCGGGTTATTGTTGGTTGGTGAAATTAAATATAATTATTTATTGTGGGTTGAAAACCGAATATGCTCACCAGGCTCCCAAGTCTGACCCACTCAGTTTCTTTGTATTACAGGTAGTGGTGTGAGAGCATAAGTTGGAGAACTTGTGAAGATGTTTTTGTTTATAGATCAGTAGTTATATATAACTGTGTAAGGTCTATGTTTTATTGTTTATGCTTTTGTGTCTGTATCGGAACATGACATCCCGAGTTTTGATATATAATGAAAATACATTTCTTTAAGAAATGCTTTGATAAACCTTATTTATCATGTAATGTTTTTGGGGACAAATTCCGCAACTCTTTTAAATCAATGGATTTACTCTGAAATTATTTTAAAAGCATAAATGAAACCTGTCTTTTTCTGGCCGTGATTTTGGGGATGTCACACATATGATATGTGTGGAAAATATTTATCTTTGTGTTCTCAATTCAATAGTTGTTCTTGTGTATATAATCATATATGATTATATGTATCTAATCACATATGATTTATATAGACATCATTATTTTTTGTCCGTATGAATCATATGTGACTATATACATATAATCACATATGATTATATGTATTTAATCACATATGATTACAGTGGACAAAGAATAATTATTGAATCGAGAATGTGACAATGAATCTCATCCACATAAATCATATATGATTGCATACATATAATCACATGTGATTTTATGTATTTAATCAGATATGATTTATGTACACAATATTTATTTTTGCGGTTTCGACTGAATAATTGCTTTTGTGTAATTAATCACATGTGATTATA